GGCCAAAAAAAAAAAAAAGGGGAAAAAAAAAAAAGGCGAAAAAAGAAGGGAAAAAAAAAAAAAAAACTTGGGGGAGAGATAAGGTCTGGAAAACAATCTGGAATTGCCAGGCTGTTGGTGGGAGCTCTGCGGGGCTGGCGTCAGGAAGTCTGCGCCGCCTTCTATTACTGTTGATCCAGCTTTGTGCAGCTGCACTCAGTACAATTAGCTTGTAGAAACAATCCTGCTGTAGGCAGCCTCTTCCCTTCAAAGTGCTTTTCTATACTGATCCCCTCACATCATGATGCTGGAAATCAAGTCACAAGCCGACCACTGTTTGGCCAACATCATCTGTGGGAATTCATTAACCTCCATCCCAGAGATGCAACAAGAGATTGTTTGTCCAGAACTAAACTTACAGCTTAATATGATGTAGCCCATACAAGAAAAAACCTGTGTCCCCCTTTTTTTTTTTTTTTTTTTTTTTGTCCGTAACAAGAAATACATTTTGCAGATTTTTCTCTTTTTTTTTTTCTTTAGGGGGTGGGGAATGTAGCTGAAACCAGGCGTGAGCCGGCTCCTGCTAAAACTTTGCCATCGAACTGTTTTTTGGTTCATCGGGCTGCAGTTTCCATAGAAGCAACTTATCCCCGCGATCATCTCGTCGGGTGCGCTTTGCAAGCTCATTTCCCGTCTGCGTTTGCTCTACTGCTCTCAGATGCTGCAGCTGACACATTTCCTCCCCGTGCACTTTGCACCCACCTCATCCTTGCCCAGATGCTCAGGGCTGATTGTGCCTAAAAGGGGGTTTCATCGCACGCTGCAGCTGCCTTGGAGGAAGGGATTTTTTTTTTTTTTTTTAATTTTAATTTTATTTCTACTTTTTCCCCTGCTTCAGTGCTCAGCTCCGTGCCATGCGAGCAGCAGGCCCTCCTTGTTCCCCCAGTCGCCAGGGCCGTGGAAACGCCTTTGCAGGGATGTGGCTGCAGCTGCAAGCCCTCTGCCACGCACCCGTCGCGTGCTGCTGCGTGTGAACGCTACCGGTGGCTTCGCCCAGCCCTGGTCCCCGTGGAGTGGGGCTGCCCGTGGGACACCGGTGCCGTTGACGTCTCCCCACTCCTGGGGCTGTTTGTGAGCAACTGTGCTGCTGGGAGCATGAGTCCTGCACCCCGGTGCTGCCCGTGGCAGGGCTCAGTCCCGCGACAGGGCTGGTGTCGGTCGCTGCTCCCCCGCGCTTCCCAGTACCTCACCTGGCCGTGGGATGCACGGCCCCTTGCTTCCATCTAGTCCACTCTGAACCCCGCCGTGTTCTTCTTCGAGGAACATACGGATGCGCCTTCTCCGAGTCCCATTTCCAAACTCCACTCTTTTCTGGGCCAGAATTGCAAATGCCATGGACCTGCCAACTGTAAGATCTCCTCTCCTTTCCCCCCCACTATACTTTTGAATAACATTGCTTTTGTACAGCATCGTTCCCTTCATCCCCACTTGGAAACATCCCTCATCTGCTGCGGTTACATTCCCAAGCTGCTTGTTGTTGGAGGCTTGGGAAGTATTGTGACAAAACATTTGTATTTTCTCATTTTTCCTGGCCATTTGCTTCTTGGCCAGAAGTGTAGGGCTATAGGATGGACAAGCCTTTGCTCTGATTCAGTTTTGCCATGCTTATCATTTTATGATCACACTCCCAAACTCTGTGCTTCTGCAGGAACGCCTTTTACTCAAACTGTATTTTGTAGCACCCGCCTGCAAAGAGGGGTGTTTCTGCGTGAATTGTGTGGTTTTGCTGGGATATTTATATCAAGTCCAAATTCAGATGCTTCAAAGCTAATATTTTCGTCTGTTTTGTCAGGTTTCTCATTTCTGTAAGTGGGACCAGTGCCCTGAAGGCATTTCTACATAAACTGCCACCTGCAAAGGGCTGTTGCTTACCTGATGCTACTTGAAGAATACTGCCATGAAATCTTTCTGAAAGCAGCATCTCTCTGGCATAGTAAGTGTTACTGGTGTGAGGTGTATTAGATCCGTGTATTAACTCTTATCTCTTCACTCAAAAGGAAAGAAGTTTCTTTTCTTTTTTAAAATCATCAACAATTTACTGATGCGATGTTGCACGTTTTAATTCAGTTACGTTGCATGTCTTCTACAAGTGCTTGTAGTGAGCCAGGTAGATGGCTCTCTGACTTACGTGATTGTGCTAAAATCTGGGATCAAACAAGTTTCCTGCTTAGTGCATGGCTTATGTAGCAGACGGTTTTCATCTGCCGTAGCTTTTCTAGTGACAGCTTTAAATTAGTATAGGTCTAAAATTTTGCAAATTTTGCACCCCACCGACAATTCTCTGGAAAATCCATTTAGAATGGAAAAGGGAGAGAGGGGCCAGGCGGGAGGTTACTGACAATACCTCATGTGCGGTAAGGAATAAACCAAGGAATTAAAACTGGGCTTGTTCTTTCTTTTGTTAGTTGTCTGGCTGGCTAGACCAGCTTCCCTCAGCCTATCACTTTGGCCTAACTTTGATTTTTAGGTACAGGCCTGTGGGAATAAGATCGCAAAATGCTTGGCTTAATTTCACTGGAAAAAGGAAGGATTGAGAATTGGATTGGTGGGAGAAGATTTTGAAAATCTGTTCTAGGTATGGTTTTTAACACCCTTCCCCCCCCATTCAAATTGTAAAATTATGGTGAAATTACCATGGATGTGTTTGTATAGTATGCTTGGTGTGTTTGTTCTTGCTTGGTCATAATGTTTCATGAACACAGAGGAGAAGTGGAATCTATACTGCCACCATCATCTAATTGTTGGTGAATCTGTAATCTTGCCCGTTCACTTCAGGCAGAATAACTCGGTTACGTGATGAAAAG